CCTGTCAAGGAATATGATAAAGACTTGCGTTTCAGTTATAGTGATTTACTCAAGTTAATTTTGTTGAGAATAACGTAGCATCAGCGATTCAGATGTTATTCTTGACTTGTTAGTATGCGATTGGAGACGAAGTTAACAGAGATATGTACATTTAACGCTTTCGCGTTATTGAAGCTGGAAAAAAGATTTGACATTGTCGACTGTTAATTCCGATCGTAACTTCAAGGCAGTTTTATCGGTTAATCAAACGATATATCACATCAATCGCCAACATACACTTCCCATTAAAAAACATGATTCCGTCTAATGACCTAGTGAAATCTAATGTCGTACATTACTCGTCGCGTATGAAAGTGGGCACCGACTATCGCAAAAACCGAACTTTGCACTAGTAATGCTTTCACATTACGATGAGCTCAACGTACCTCTCATAAAGAAGTCAGATTCAAATTGGTTAAGCGAGCATAGTTTCGAGCCAACTGTCTTGCTACCATTTGAAAACGTGTTAAGAACATTTAAATAAGACCGTTAAATTTCACGATTTCGTCAATGACCTAATGAAATCTAAGGGCGTGCTTTAAAAGACGCGATAATGTCATACTAATGATTAATGTGTACTATGTGGATGTAAATAAAAGGAATTTATGCGACTATATAAGCTATTAGCAAGTTTATGCTAATTCTTGACATTATTGACATCGAGAAACGTGACGCGAACTATTTATCTTTGTTTTTATAATCAAGAGACGTTGAAGGGCTGATATAACACGTCAAATACGGATAAATATGAACAATTAACTTGAGATTATTACGATCTACTATTATTATGCAAGATTTATTTAATTTAACTATAAAAAAGTATCTCGATATTATCATATAGAGACAGAAAACGTTAAACGTTTTGTAACGTCTCTTTAGAGTTTGAGTTTTATTGTTGGATACATTTTAGTACACGTACTAAAAAATTGTTTTGATTTTAAATTTAATGTGATTGAGAGGATTTGATAGCAAAATCAGGCAGAATTACGGACAAATCTCTATTAATCATGACAGGACAATTAGCAGAACTTTCAAGATCAGGTTTTTATCGGAAATTTAATGCGTATTGCTATTATTATTATTATTATTTTTTTTTTTTTTTTTAGCAGAAAGAAATGAATTTTTTTTTTTTTATTATTATTATTGTTACGAGGATGAAACTTACAGACTATTCCATTGGTAATTGGATGTTGTTGGAGCTAAATAGATCTTTCAGTTGCTCGATTTCATTTATTTGGACAGGCTTCTTGTTCTTTATTCGGATCTTTATGGTTCCATTGGATATCCAGACTCCTTCAATTGCTGCATTTTTCTTCTTTGCGTCCCGTGCCTTGTTGAATATTCCACGATTGATATAAGTCATTGGTGTACGGAATTCAATAGCCTTAGCTCTGTTGACATCGGAGTCTTTAAGCGTGAATATGTTTTCATTTAGGACGGGGATGTATTTATTGTTTGCATCTTTTTGCTTTGTTTTGAGGAAACTGAGGAACTTCTTTTTATCATTCGATGTATTGAAGTGTAAATGAGCAGATTTGGACTTGTATTTCTCATTAGATGAAAAATTGTGACTCATAAGGGTATCTTTCAGGATGTTATTGCTCCATTTATTCATGTCTTCTAGAAATTTGTCTTCATTTATAGTTGTTGCTATGTTGACCATGGTAATTTGTTTCTCAAGTAAAATTTGATTAATGGCATTTATTTGACTATCATGGCTTTGCATCTTTTTATGAATTTCGAGATTATCAACTTCGAGATTAATTACTTCACCTCTCACATCTTCAAGATCTTTCTTCACTAGATTTACATCAGCTATTAATGAATCAATTTTGCAGTCAAAGTTCCTGTTCCATTCATCCATACGCTGACTCATTGATGTCATTTGATTTCTCATTTCGTCCATGAAATTCTTAAGATCCTTATCACTTAGTGACATGTTGTGGCAAGGCTTTTTTGGACTAGTCTCTTCGTCTGTTGGTGTTAATTGATAATGCTTTCTGGCACTCGACTTTGGTGTTTGATTTGGTATTGGATTTGGAGAGTGTATGTTTTCTCTTGTTGGAGATTCAGGCATTCCAAGAGATGAATTTTTTGAGGTTTGTAGATTTTATGAGCACAAAAGTTTAAAGACACTTTTTGCGATGTACAGCACAAACTTCCACTTAGTTTCTACATATAAGCAACTCAATGATATTGATGATCTTCTTGGATAATAATTTGAAATTTATTAAGTTAAAATAGCATAGTTATAATAAAAAAAACTTTTAATTGACATGCACCACTTTGCACATTATTTTTTGAGGAAAAATCTTTAAAATTATGAAAAAATCTTGAATTTTTATGCAATTTTTTCAAATTTAAATTGAAGAAGTCAAAAAAAAATTTAAAAAAAAAATTAAAAATCATTTTCAATGTCTCAGCCCTTCCATCTGACAGAATCAGTAGAATAATAGGAGGAACCGATGCAGTTGAGGGTCAATTCCCATATGCAGTCTCACTTCAAGATTATCCAGCGAGATTTCATTACTGCGGTGGAACTATAATCAATGAACATTGGGTGCTGACAGCTACGGTAAGTTGGGATAGTGCTGTATTGGCTGTAATGGCATATGGCAAGAGTCTGTTGAAAACAAGAGACTATCGGTGGTTGGTGACAAAGCTGATGTTCGCATTGGCTCAGTCTTTAAGCTGCTAAAGTCAAGTTTTGGTAATTTTTCGACTCAAGATTGCAGTCAACAGATGAAAATTATCTGAATTCAGTTATTAAGCTTCTTGTTACGAACTGCCGGCTTCCTTATATGACAAGGATATCTCAAAGATAATGGCCCATTGGCTGCTCTTCATTGCAATAAGCACCATCAGCTGATTACAAAAAATTCTTGAAGTCTACATTTTTTTTAACTTAAAAACTATCTTAAAACATCCAATTCCAGCATTGTGTAGCCAGAGCAGTCCCATCTGGCACTCGAGTCGTGGCCGGTTCAATTTTCCAACGCAGCGATCCAAATGCAATTTTACATGCAGTCACAAGAATTATTCTTCATTCAGAGTATCAGTCGGATGTGTTCAGAAATGAGTAAGTAACAGCAAAACGTGAATCACATCTAATGGCATGAACCAGGAGCATAACCAGGAATTTGAAGAAGGGGACAAAAAAATTTATATTGAAAATTCCGAGAGATTTTTATGATTTTTTCATAAAACTCCTAGAAAAATGGAGAAATTTCTGTTAACGTCGGGGGATTTGTCCCTCAAATCCAAAATGCATTTATGATGCATTCGTGACTAAATTTGATTAAATATTCAACAATTTTTATTTATTTTTCTTACTCCGAAAGTGTTGCACTTGTGAGAGTTACTGATCCTTTTGTGTGGACAATATTAGTGCAGCCATTGAGATTAGGGAGTGAATTTATTGGAGGTGGCATTGCTGCTGTGGCTGTTGGTGAGTTTTCATGTGAAGCTGAGTTTAAAATGAAGCAGAATATGACAAACATCAAATTGGTTTGAAAAGCTTGCTAAATAAAATTTCTCAACTTTCAGGCTGGGGATACACAATTGATGGAAGCCAAAACACACCCGAGTAAGTTCACAAGTCATGGCAAAGTTTCTCAAAAATTAAAGATTCATCCATTTTTCCTCAACAGCAATCTACAATTCCTAAACACAAATACAATCACACATAGCGAATGTCAGAACAGAGTCGGCGGTTGGGTTCAACAGAGTCACATTTGCTCATTCGCTAGACATGGTCAAGGTAGGTTGTTCAGGGGGAATACTAGTTGGTGGGAAAAAAAGGAAATTTTGTCCATCACAAAAACCTTTTCGAAAATGGGTCGCATTCTTCTTGGCAACAATCTTGAGCAGTAAGCAGGTGCGTAGTCAGGAATTTGAAGAGGGGGAGGGGCAATTTTTTTTTTTTTGGAAAACTTTTAGGGGGGTTCGAGTTTTTCAAAAAAACTCTAGCAAAATGAAGAAATTTCTCAAGACGAAGGGGGATTTGTCCCCCAAATCCCCCTCCTCGGCTACGCGCCTTGCAGTTTATAGACGTAAACGGAAACTGGGCAAATAAAATCGGAAGGAATTGAAAGAAGAAGAACGCGAAAAAATACTGTAAGGGTATTTGGCGTCAAAAGCAAACCAAAAGGTTCGGGGCCATGCACACTGCTGTCTATTCATTAAGGACGTAAAATTGATCAACTGACTGTGTTAAGTCAGTCACTGATCTTAATTTTTGAGTAATATTTTTGATTTTTCATTTATTTATCAATTTTCAGGAGTTTGTTTCGGTGACAGGTAAGTGAATTTTAATATGCAGAAGGTTGCCATTTAGGCTATGAACTTTCTGCATTTTGAGTCTTTTACAACAAAAACCTAACCTTACAATCAATTCCAAACCATCAATAGTGGCGGTCCACTAGTCGTAGCAGACGCAATCGTTGGCATTTCTGCATTCGTCATTACTGGTCCATGTGCACGTGGCGTTCCAGACGGTTGGGAACGTGTTTCATCTTATTATAATTGGATTAACTCGAATGCTGTTAATTGAACGTGATTTAATGTGAATAAATTGTTTGCTGTTGCATTGTAGATTAAAAGTCAATAAAATGGGTTTTTTGAGTCACGTTTTTGGTGTTTGGTATGGTTGAATTGGAGATCAAGCAGTTGTTTGGTGCAAAAATCATTTAAATTCAGGGACTCAGGCATAAGTCAGTAGTTGAAAATGCCAAATTTTACATTCTTTTGCATTTCAACGACCTCAAATTCCATAAAAATTCCATCTAAAGTCACAATTATCTCAAAAAGAAACTCCAAACCTCCTGATAACCAACACAACATTCCTCAATTTATAAAAATAACTAAAACAAAGCATTTTTGTGATAAAAATCATCAATAATAAAATTGCCTAAAATATAAAAATAATCAATTAATGCTCATTTATTGTGACTCTTCAACCGCTCAAATCAGGGATTTTTTGATAACTCAAAATACACTCAAGATATGACTGTAAATAAATTTGACATTTTATGATTTTCCTTCAGTCTGAAACGTCCATTCAGTCAAAAATGTTGCATAAGATTTTAACTGTTTTATTTTTGGGAGCTGTGCTTGCCAATGGTGAGTATTAATTGGATATTTAAGAAGTTTTGAGGTTATTTATGAATTTTGAACACTAGCTCTTCCGGATAGACGTATTGTTGGTGGATATGAAGCCACAGAAGGTCAATATCCATGGATGATTTCACTTAGACGTGCATCAATGTCCCACAGATGTGGTGGATCTATTATTGGACCTCATTGGGTCTTGACAGCTGCTGTAAGTACTATCGTGACTTAATAAGGCTACTAAGCATCTATTTGAGTTGATTCTTGAGTTCAGTCTGTGGTTTAGTGTCTAAATGTTGCAATTGACTGGCTTGAGCAGGTTTAGACACTAGAACAAGTTGCTCATGTTGATCTGAGATGTTAAAAACATGAAACTAATCATTTCAGCACTGCACACAAGGACAAACACCAACAACAATGTTCATCGTAGTCGGATCAATTCTTCTTAATGGTGGAGCCAATCCAATCACACACACAGTCGATAGAATCACAAATCATGAGCAGTATCATGGTGATGTCTTTGCTTTTGAGTAAGTTGTGGATTTGACTTTGTAGCCTTGAGATTGTTACCTCAACCTTGAAGCACATCTAAGCTATATCTCCGCATTTTCTTGAATTTTAGTGTCGCAACAGTTCGAGTCAGAAATCCATTCGTCTACACATCACTCGTCCAGCCAATCAGAATGAATCCAAACTTCATTGGTTCTGGTGTGTCAGCACTTGCTATGGGTAAGTTTTGGTTAATCGTGGACCGGTTGCTTAGTGTGAATTCTAAGGCTTTTTGGTACTCAAATGCAAAAGCTCTTAACCAACCAATCTATCCTAGCATCTTAAATTGACATACTTACTAAAAATGCTCCTAAATTCTAGGTTGGGGATTGACAACACAAAACAGAACTGACAGTGGATCAAAGTAAGTTTTGAGTTTAATGGCTAATCAAGTTGTGTGGACCTGCTTAATGTGTCACTGATTGTCCAGATTCTAACAGAATTCAATAATTTTCAGCATCCTCTTATGGCATCCAACATCAACAATCAACAATGCAGACTGTGTTAGACAACTCGGATCTTGGATCTTGCCACAGCATCTCTGCACATTCTCGAGACTTGGACAAGGTATTTGCAATGGAGACAGCGGTGGTCCACTTGTGGTCAACAATGAAGTTGTTGGAATTGCTACAGCAGTCATTCCATGTGCTCGTGGATGGCCTGATGGCTGGGATCGTATTTCAACCTTCCACAGCTGGATTGTCGCTAATTCATCGGACTAAGAATTGTGTTTTTACCAGATTTTTTTTTAAATAAAATGCATTTTTGATGAGAAAACTTTGATTTTGTTCAGTCATTCTTTTGACATGTACCAAAACATGCAGCTACTGTTGGACCTTAGAAATCATTAATTTCCTTTCAATTAATCCGCAACGCTTATCATGAATTATTGCAAAAAATCCTTTTAAGCCTCGCTAATGTTCTGCTGAATTGCCAGTCACTGAAACTTAATTCAGTCTGCATTTGCTGATTGAACTGAAATGCTGCATCAAATTTTTGTGATTTTATTTTTTGGAGCTGTGCTGTCCAATGGTGCGTATTCTATAAGTTTTGAGGTTAAGAATGGAATATTCTTGAATTTTAAACCCTAGCCTTGCCAAATAGACGTATCGTCGGTGGATATGAGGCAGAAGAAGGTCAATATCCATGGATGGTGTCGCTAAGATTTGCAAACATGGCTCATTTGTGTGGTGGATCAATTTTGAGTGAACATTGGGCATTGTCGGCTGCGGTAAGTTTTTATGGAATGATTCGAAGCTTTATGGACCCTTGTGGAGCTCTACTGTCTTATCTGGATCTATGGGAGCTTCTTTGAGACTTGCGTGGACTAATTTAAACTCTTTAGACCCCCTTTTTGGATTTGATAAACTTCCTGGACTTTCCAAGACTTTAAAGGATTTTTTCAGACTCAAGTGAACTATTTAGAGGTTAAAAAATATTTGGGAACCTTAATGGAACCTCTAAGTCTCAATCAGATTCCATTAACCCTTTCCTGCCTAGACCTTCTTACTCCTTCCGCTCCCTCCCTTCCATTTTCACAATTTTTTGTAAGTTTCAACATTTTTATAATTCCAGCACTGCACAATCGATCAAGTTCCAGGTGTGATGACAGTCGTAGTTGGATCAATTCACATTCATGGAGGTGCGAATCCAATAACTCATGCTGTCGAAATTATTCACAATCATGAGCTTTATCATGACGATTATTTTGCGTACGAGTAAGTTCAATATCCTGATTAGGTATCCAGGATATTACTAGGAAGCACTTAATTGGGGTCATTCACACAAAAAATTCAGGCAAAATGTGAATTTCTTGTCTATTTATGGAATTATTTGGTATGGATGTCAATGACTTCCTGGTTGCCATAAGATCACATTTTGCAAAAACAAAATTAATTGTCTCAGGTCAATAACTTGTTCAATGATTATTCCTTAGTGTTTGCACAATTCGAGTCAGAGATCCATTCGTCTACTCACCATACGTCCAGCCAATCAGATTGAATCCTAATTTTATTGGTGCTGGTGTGTCGGCACTTGCTATGGGTAAGTCTTGGTTCATTAAAGGTTGCGGTATGTTCTAGGTTAAGTACAGCATGAATGTGCGGCTCAGGATACTCATGCTCAAAATAAACTTAATTCTTAGGTTGGGGATTGACAACACAAAACAGAACTGACAATGGATCAAAGTAAGTCTTTAACTATATTTAAATAATCATGAATTTGAGATAATTGATCCTTTTCAGCATCCTCTTATGGCATCCAACATCAACAATCACCAATGCAGACTGTGTCAGTCAACTTGGTTCATGGATCCTGCCACAACATCTTTGCTCATTTTCAAGACTTGGACAAGGTATCTGCAATGGAGACAGCGGTGGTCCACTTGTGGTCAACAATGAAGTTGTTGGAATTGCAACAGCAGTCATTCCATGTGCTCGTGGATGGCCTGATGGCTGGGATCGTATTTCAACCTTCCATAGCTGGATTGTTGCTCATTCTTCAGATTAGGCTCGGTTTTTGATGACATTTGTATTGATTTTTAAAAAAATAAAACTTTTTTCAGCATGAATTGTCATAAATTTTACATTTTAGTCTGTCTCAGCAACAGATAATCCAACCACCTTAGTCTCACCTCATGAATCTCAATAACAACCAACCCACACCCCCATCATTATCCATCCAGCACAAACTGCAACAAATCTTATTTTTTTCACTCTACTAGACTCATTCGCATCATTTGCAGAAGGTCGACATCAATTTCATCATTTTCTCACATAACTGTCCGGAGAAATGATTTGTTGTTCGGATGACGGAGATGGGAAAAAAAGCCTTGAAAATGTTTTGTTTTTGTGTCTACAACTTTTGTTTTTCGGTAGTTTTTTTAAGATTTTTGAGGGGAAGTGGGTGGGTTTGGGATAATCTTTTGGGATATTGGACTAGATTGAGGGGTTTAGTAGAAGATATGAAAAGCTTAGTAGGGCAAATGGACCAGAAACTATGGTTTTAAGTAAGCAGGAGGGGAAGGTGGGGTTCATGGACTAAATCTTCTCAAACCTAATATAATAAGTTGGTAATTGTCGTGTCAAAAGCACAGTTGCGAGAAAGTAAGACATTATTTGGCGTAAAGGAGGACTAAAGCATTCTCATGGGGACCAAACTCACCTATTGATGAAGATGATTTCAGTTTTATCACAATTGAAATTATTTTGTTCGACAAATTCACAAAAAATGCTCTCAAAAAGTGCACCAAACTGCGTAAATATTGAACAAGATGTTTGAATTTTCTTGATTTTTTCCACAATTTTTGATGTTTTTATTTAAATTTTCCGACTTTTCACTCAACTTTCTTTGATTTTTCTGTTTTTTAATCACTTTTTCTTGTTTAATGTTCTCAAATTGTGAAGAAAAGTTTAAAAGATTCAAGAATTTTAGCACTTTTTTATGAAAATGTTCACAAAAATGGAAGAAAAACTGAAATTTTCGAGCTTTTTTGATGATTTTCGTACAGATTTTCACAAGTTTTCCTCAAATTTCACAAAGTCTTTTTCACTTGTCACTAAACTTTGCTATAATTCTCTACAATTTATCAAAATTTCACCAAAAATCTTCTCAAATTCCTCAAAATTGACCACAAAGACCCAAACAACCAATAAAAAAATTAAATTTTCACAAAAATTTTCCTCGTCCGAGTCGCAACAAAGCAAAAATTTAAATGAAAAATTTACAAAAAACTTCAATTTCCAAAAAAAGTTCACATCCAGTGCCGCATGCGCAATAACATGTAAACAACTGGAACTACAACGTGCTCGCATGCAACATGAAGCTCTAATCAGTTCCACGCATGTCCAGTCGCTTAGCAACGTCCACAAATTCCCCTCAAAAAATGTCCATCAGACAAGCCAAAAATTGGAAAATCGAAGACATTTTTTTCCACAATTTTCCTCAGTTTTTCACTCACACAGCAACTTCAAGTCAAATTAGTCCAAAAAAATAGTGTGAAAAAAGTTTTTTTTGAATTTTTTAAGTTTTAAGACAATTTTTGGTGAAGTTTTGACAGAAAATTTGAGAATTTGTGAGAAAAATTGTGGAAAATTGTGTGAAAATGTGAAAATTTGGATGTGAAATTGAAGGTAAAAAGGCACAAAAGTCAATTGTTGCTGGATGAATTCGCACAAAAAAAGGATAAAATAAATTTAAAAAAATAGATGAAAATAAAAATCGAAAGGTCGACGCTCGAAAAAAAAATGAAAATGTTCAATTAGGAAAATTGAAAATGAAATTTGTGGAAAAAACTTGACATTTGTGAGTGAAAATTTGTAAAATTCGAGGATTTTCGTGTGAAAAATTCTTGAAAGTTTTGGGTTAAAAAAATATTTTTGGACATTTTTTATGAATGAAGGTTTTTTCTTGTAAATTTTTGTGTACAATTGAAGACATTTTCATAAAAAAGATTATTAAAGTGATTTTACAAATGATGAAAATATTTAGAATTTTGCTTTAAAAAAATTAATTCTTAAAAACTGAATTATAATTTCATTGCTAAAAAATCTGGCACAAAATTTGCCAAGTGCTAAAAAATCTGGCACAAAATTTTCCAAGTGCTAAAAAATCTGGCACAAAATTTGCCAAGTGCTAAAAAATCTGGCACAAAATTTTCCAAGTGCTAAAAAATCTGGCACAAAATTTGCCAAGTACCAAGAAATCTGGCACAGAACTTAAATGCTAAACAATTTTGGCTTGAAATGAACCATGTGTTAAAAATTCTGGCACAAATGTAACATTATCAAAATTCTAAATATAATTGAAATTTATCAAAGTTTAGATTATTAAATCATAAATCCAAGCTCTAGTTTTACACAATTCAAATTTCAATTAAACTTCAAACAACAAAATTATGGCACATTACTTAAAATTCTTTAAAATTTCCTCAAAAAATAAACTTTTTTAATTAAACCACCCTCGCCAGAAAAACTTCAAAAATTCTTCATCAACACACCAAGTCAAGGAACAATTCTCATCAAAATTCCATCACAACTAAAGACAAAGTCAGAACAAAAAAAAATCAATTAAAATGTAAATGGCTTTCGTGTGTGAGAGAGTGAGATGGAGAGATAAAAAAATATGTTGTAACATTTGGAGTGAATCGCTCAAAATTGAATGAAAAATTTTCTTAGCATAGTCATTAGTGTGCATGAATTATAGAAAGGAATTTTCCCATAAAAATTTTACTTTGCTGGGTGAAAAAAACTTGTTTTGAATGTGTTTGTGAGGAGACTTTTACGGTCAAGTTTGTAGTTGGAATTGGATTGTAATTATGAATTTATGAGGTGAATTTGATGAGTTGGTGTTGAACATTTGAAGTTGTGATGAAACTATAAGTCGGACCAGTACAAAAATATTGCATTGGATTTAGTACAAGATTCTGGCATTGACTTTAGTACAAAAATCTGGCATTGTTTTTGGTAAAAAATCTTGAATTGACTTTAGTACAAGAATCTGGCATTGACTTTAGTACAAGAATCTGGCATTGACTTTAGTACAATAATCTGGCATTGACTTTAGTACAAGAATCTGGCAGAGACTTTAGTACAAGAATCTAGCATTGTTTTTGGTATAAAAATTTGGAATTGACTTTAGTACAAGAATCTGCTATTGACTTTAGTACAAAAATCTGGCATTAATTTTAGTAGAAGAATCTGGCATTGATTTTAGTACAAAAATCTGGCATTAATTTTAGTAGAAGAATCTGGCATTGATTTTAGTACAAAAATCTGGCATTAATTTTAGTAGAAGAATCTGGCATTGATTTTAGTACAAAAATCTGGCATTAATTTTAGTAGAAGAATCTGGCATTGATTTTAGTACAAAAATCTGGCATTGATTTTAGTACAAGAATCTAGCATTGATTTTAGTACAAAAATCTGGCATTAATTTTAGTACAAAAATCTGGCATTAATTTTAGTAGAGGAATCTGGCATTGATTTTAATACAAAAATCTGGCATTGATTTTAGTACAAAGTGTCAAATCCCTTCGAAATCTAATAAAATCGCTTCAACTCAATAATGCAAAATGTTTGTCTGTAAATGAACTTATTGACTCTTCTACATCATTCTATTCACAATTCACAGAACTAATCCAAGCATTTCTACCAAATTTGCTCGAGTTTAATTTTATTAAGTCAAAGCTTCATGAAACTTTGATGCTCTTGATGAGTTCAAATGGGAATTAAAAAGGTTCTTAGAAAATGCTCATTTTGTGATTTTGCAATGAGCTTTGTTGTACATTGAATCACTGAGAAACGTATGAGACATGTGTAGGAACAGCTATTATGCAATATTTTTGTTCATTAGTAAAATTGGTTTTCATAAAAGGAAGCATAATGGGAATTGTGGGAATGAATATGTTGCTTGGTTTTGAATGTTAAATGTAACAAAAGGTTGTTATAATGATGGAAAGCAAGTTAGGTTGACTTTGAGATGATTGGAACTTTATTTTGTAACGTTATTGCAGATTTTAGCATTAAAGTTTGCTAAAGCCAGAATTATGGCACAAAATAGCCAGAATTTTAGCATAAATCTTGAGCCAATTTTTTAGCACAACATTTTTGAACTTTGTCCAGAAATTCAGACTCTGTCAACAGTCAATCTTCATTATAAATTTTAACATCATGTCTAAAAGCCAACCACAACTCCCATCCCACTTTCATCACAATCGTCCTTATCTTCATCATTGTAAGCATTAAATAATTCCATAAAAAAAGTCAGAAAAAAATTTAAATGTCGAGTGTCATTCGAGCAACAATTTCTATTTTCATCAGACAGACACGACAAGGCTTATAGCTAGCTGCTTGCTTGTAGGAGTTTGCACCCTTTTTCATATTTTTTTAACATTCATGTAACGACATCAATTTAATGTAAATTGCTCAACTTGACTCGGTTATGAAATGTTAAATAAACACATTTTTTTACATAATTAATGTTCCGTCCTCAAATGGACATCAAAAGTTGTTCCTTTTTAATTCAATTTTGTTCGCATCAATTAAAACAATTTCCACCTAAAGTGGTTGAGTGCAGTAAATGAAAGAAAGTTAATTTTCTAGGGCTTCATAATTATTATTGCAAAAAGCCTTTGTTAATACCGTAACTGCGGGGGCTCTTGTGATGGATATTTACGTCAGTGAATGAATTATGTTGAGTGAGGCTTGTATTGGAATTGTTGAACTTTAAGAAAGTTGTTGATTTATATGCAAATAACTTTTTTCATTTAAATTAATTCAGATATTGAAAATTTTGATTTCTATGCTAAAAAATCTGGCACATGTGCTAAAATTCTGGCTCTTAGTGCTAAAATGTGGCTGCTGGTGTGCCATAATTTTTGTATTGTGCCATATTTTAAGTTTTTGTGCCATAATTTTGGTTTTGTAGCCATTATTCTGAAATTCTTTAATAGTTCTGGCTTTGTGCTATATTTTTGGCACCAAAAGTCATCAAAAAACATAAAACCCATCTCAAAACTCAAACAACCAAAAAAACACAACATAATCATTATCGATTAAGCTTATTAAAGCTAATAATCATTTCTCA